TCAAATTTGAGATTCTTGAATCAATACAGATACACTACGGTCAATTGTTTGTTAAAGTCATACATCAATATTGTATACAAGATGTTATTGCGCTCTCACTGATGAAACTATTACTACACAAGAACATATTGATCGTGGTGTTTCTATATTTAGTTATGAAAGGTCTATAAAAGACATCATAAATGAACTTTTGATCCCTGCTGCTTTACCGTGCATCTAGTAGATGAGGTTTATATTCCAGTTCATTGTGGAAAAGATTTTCATTGAGGTGTTGGCTATGCTGATTTTGAAAAAAAGGTTAATACGAGTGTATGACTCATATATGAGATAAATAAAAAGAGTTCATTCCGAAGAGATAAAGCAGTTGTCTGTAATGCTTCCAAACTATCGACATGATAGTGGTTCTTTGATAAGACTAAGAGAATTGATTGATCATAATTGGAGGCATACAAAGACAACAAAACTGGTGAATTGTTGGTCAACAACAGTCCTTTGTGGTGAAATATGCTCAAAACATAATGCAAACAACAAAGCGATAGTCTATGAGTATTGTAAAACAACTAATTTACTTACACATCAATTCACTTTTTAATGTATCTACATTTGTTTTTAGTGATTTGTGGAATGTATTTAGTTTCTTTTGCAGAATACTTGAGCGATAAAATCAACATTCCATCTTTTTGTTTTTGTAGTGAATATCTTCACAACAAATACAAAACACAGTTATGAAAGTATGGTATTGACAAAGTCAAGATTGGATATGTTAGTGATACTGAGGATCCTACAAGGCCAAAGAGTGACAACACTAGACTAGCAGAAGGTCGACTGATTAATGTAGAATAGTTAGATTTTTATTATGTTGAAGTTACGTTAATTAGTATTTTGTACTATCCCTTATTCTTCCAACGCAATCTTACGAAGTAATTATTAATTTGAAGAATTTTTTTGTCAAGAAATGTATTTCAATTTTAATTTTTGCCTCCAAGTATATAACTGAATGTACAGTAACTTGTCATTAATTATTTTTTAAAGTATGGTTTACACAAATACAGTTGATACAATATAACAATTGTACACAGAATATCTGATACAATATTTTATACACCTGTTAAACAAATTGATTTTTAATTTAAGTAGTATATATTAACATGTGGTAGTCTTGAAGTAAATCACAACGTCTAATGTTATATTATCATCAGATACACAATATCCATAAAATTATACACATTTTATTATAAACTTACAAATTTGTGTATATGTAACAATTGATACAAAATAACGTAATTAATACATTTAGTATCGTTCACATGGTTGAATCATATAACTTTGTTTAAAATCATAATAATTAACAAAATTTTATTATCACATACATAATATATTTGACGTTTAATATAAATGAGACTAATTAACTTATCAATATATCTTAGTAAAATTACACTTGATCTAAACAATCAAATTCAATATATTTAGTATCATTATGCATTTTCGTACAAAATTTAAATTTGTATCATGATACAAAATTAAAATGTGTCATATAATATCGATATAAACTTACTAATTGATTTTTCCTTTTCTTCAATGTATCACTTTCTTTCAAGGTGTGCAGATTTTTCCATTTCTTCCATATATTTAACATTCAATGTAAATGAGACTAAATCACTTATCAATATATCTTAGTAATTTAAAATCACTCCAAATGATAAAATCTTATTAGCAAATTCAAAATACCCAGAAACATTATTACACATGAAGCATAATAATCATAAAAAAATAATCATCAAGAATCTTTTGAAGAGAAGGTACATGTTCTTATATTGTGACTTTCTTGTCCACAACGTCCACAATCGTTTTTGTTGTTAACTTTACATCTGAATTTTTCATTTTCTTGGTGGCAAAACGACTTCTTCCAAAACACAGTACGGAGCTATCCCATCACTTTTATCTAGCAATGATTCCATTGGAACTGCATAAGTGTTTGATAATGCATCATGTTTATAGTAATCATAGCAGTAGGGGTGTATATTTGTTATATTTTTCTTCTTCAAAACGGATACTGCATGCGGATGAGGTATCTCATCATGTTTAAATCTACCACATGAATAAGTTTTCTCTCAAGACAAACAATGTATCTTATCCCACCTTCATACACTGAAAAAAGAAACTCAGAAAATGCAACAACCTACAATTATTTACAAATTAGAGATATTTTTAACACGTTTTTTTTCATTTGGTTAAACAATAATATATTTAGAAGTAAAGTTAGATACATAATAAAGATAATACAAATATGTACCTTCATTTTTGCACTTTTTGACACGTTTAAAACTAATATTTCTTCAAATCTTCTCCACATTGTTTCCTTTGTATAAGAAGCTATTACTCTATTTTTGCAATTCCAAGAACCAAATCGAATTCAAGCTTCTTCCAGAATGTCTATAATAGGTATTTGTCGTGCTTCAACAAGGCAACCATTGATACATTCAGCTAAATTTGAAGTCATCGCTCTTTCCTGGTTCACTGTTGCGCATGAGACCTAGACAACCTTTCATACCCAACATCTTGAAAATATTATTTTTACTCTGCCATCTATTTTATCGAATTTAGCCTTCAATTTTTTAAAATCATATTTTCTATAAGCCTTTGCCATTGAGTTGACCAGATCACTTTGAATGGTACTGCTTCTCCTAAAGTTTGAACAAACATTTCTCCAGATGTTCCATATGCATGCAAAATGAGGAATAGTTGGATAAACAATACTTACACCTTTCTTTATGCTTTCGTTTCTGTCCGATACAACACACATTTTTCCCTCTCACCAAATGCATTTTTAAATTGTTGAAAGAATCATGTCCATGAACAATCATTTTCTGTGTCAACAATTTTGTAAGCAAAAAGCAATATGCAACCTTTAGATTGAAACACAAAACAGTATGGACTAAACAACATCTAGTTATTAGTTTAATAAATAAATAAATTCATAACCAACATGACATACATGCTCTATCAAGTGTAATAGCGTATACAATGTCCCTCAATAAGCTCCACTAAGATGTAAAGCATCAACAACAACAACTGACCTACAGAACTCAAACCCTCTCATCATTAGCCTTAATGATATGAAAAGACACATAAATTCGTTATATTTGGATTTCTGCATCTTTATATATAAATTTGGATACAAAGTTTCTATTACATATATGTATATTAGTATTTTTCTATATCCATCAATAGGTTTAACCCATATCATTTTTAATGTACACTCTTTGTCCCGCCATGCTTGCTGGTAAAAAATCCCAACGTCATACATTACACTAATATCTTCAATTATATCGTTGGGAGTATGTTTCCTTTTATGATTCCCCAATTTTGGAGTTGTCACACCATTACTAAATCCAACAGTAGCTTGTACCTTACTTAATACCCTATCTCTCAATGGACAAGTATGTTCACTATTAAAGTATCTCACTGTGAATGTGTCTGAATTTTTTTATAACAGAGGCCTTTAATTTCAAACAACAATCAACTTAATAAAAAACTAATACATAGCTGGAATGACATAATATATATTTGTTATTTGATCAGGTTGAATGTACTAATACGTAAATTCAAAATAAGAGAACATTATGATACCTTATTTTAATTACTTGATCTAATTGATACTTTCATGAATAAATGTATCCCATTATGATACATTATTGTTTACAATAATCACAAACTTAATCTTAAACATTTTTCATCTACCATTCTTAATTTATACATTAATAATAAGAAGAACATCAAAAAAAAAACGCGATACATTATACATATGACTACACATAACGTATGTTATAAGTGTATCATGGTAAACATATTAAAAAACACATTATAAAAAATGAAGAAAGTTATCATATAATTTTATCGCATACCTTTTGTTATCATATCTTTTAACTTTAAAATTAAAACTATTCTTTCTTTTGTAATTTTCCATTGCATCCTTTTGAGTTGTCTTATCTTTGTAAATTTGCTTCACTTCTACAACAAAAATATTGGTATGTGATACATAATTTTCCACCTCTATTTCTAATATGTTATATGTATCACCAATATTTTATTTAACAATGCTTAGAGCCTTGCGTCGCTTTTTCCACCCTCAACACACAGGATTGCACCTGTTGTTCAATAGAATTTTTGTATCTCTTCAGCACCTTTATCTGATGTATCAATGCATAAAGGATAGATCTTGAATCCCACCTCATGTTTCTTAATTTCTATATACAATTTAACCTCACATCAGTCCAAATACACAATGAAGACGAATTATCTTCAATAAAGTATCTGATCTCGATATATTTTTTTGATTCATCAATACCTAACTCAGGCGCAATTGCTGAAATAAGATTGAACGAAATATGTTCTCCGACCACTATTATATCACTTTTGTATCACTGGTATATCACATAACTTTCCCATGATCCAGAATGTCTTAACAAGATTGAAATATTCATTTTTGAATCTTTAAAAATTCACGTTTCAGAATATTTTGAAACAAATTTTTATTGTTATTTCAAAGTACAATGACAAGGTTTCACAATTTGAAATTCAAAAATGCCCAAATCAGTTAGAGGTTTATGCAGGCTGGATGCTAAATTTGTTAAACGTCCACGTGATTCATGGGGTTAATTTTATCCCTTTTATTGCGTTGTAACTGATAACAACAATTTATAATTTAAAGTATTTATCCGCTTTACTTTAAGTATCGTTCTGTAATAATACGTATCCGAAATACTATAAAAAAAAGAGATTTTTGTTAAATAGTGAAAGAGTAGGTATAGAAAGTAATTTGTTCCTTAGACTATGTGATTTACCTAATTTTTACATCTTAAAATAGTTTGAAGCTCATATTTAACCAATTAAAATATGAATAACTATAGTCACTAAATATAATCAAAATGGACTCCTTTTATTGATAAGGACTGAAATTGTCACCCGTACACAATTATAGATATTTACATTGATTGCTCTTACTTTTTTACAGTTACCTGTCTAAATTCCTCACCCCACGTCAATCCGACTTTTCTTAAAAAAATGAAATTCATCTTTCATCTCTTTCATCCATCCATCAAAAATTCTCAAATCTCATAGGCAAAGCTGAAGATGGGAGAGGAAAGATGGGTGGGGGGAATGGAATACAACAAGAACGAGTGGATCAGGGAATGGGGAGCCTCAATGGAGAATAACTTTCGTTTGAGTAGCCGAAATTTGGAGCTTGTAGGTATCTTCGGTATCTCCACCCCGATATTGGTTTACAAAGGAATCATCAAAGAGTTCCATTTGCATGATTATGAGTGGGGCAAGCCACATACAAAGTTTGTAACATGAGGCATTTGGATCCCTGTAATAATCTCAAAAGAAAGACAATTAAATTCTTCTTAAGTATGCTCAGCGAGTCGATTTCTATTTTGAATTACTCCTAGATACTTTAACTTGTCAATTTCTGTTTTGACTAAAACTTTCTCAAAATAAATTTGGACATGTCCTTTGAAATCTCTCTTGTTGGCTTTGGAGTGGTATATGAACTTTAACTTGATGTTTTGGCCTGCGTATATGTGTTGTCCTGATGAAGGTTAATTTGTGGCTTGTGAGGAATACAATATTGTAAGTGCTTTCGTAAAAAAAAATTCTGTTTCATCTATATATTCCATTAAAGCTAGTTTTGAAACATCTAAAAACTTATTAGGAGAAATATATTCTACATACAGTCAAAACAAAAAGGCAGATTCTAGGTTGAAATTTTCAATAATTTTAGTATTTTGAAGAAATCTCATTTGATAATTGTATTTCCAGAAAGATTATTTTATCATTTTCTTGGAGGTGAATCAAAGGTGTTTTGAGGTTGATCCTTTTTGGGTTTGCTGATTAGATTTTTTACTACGCGTGAAACGGTCAAAAATCAAATCTTTATTGATTTTGCTAATGTTTTGGGGAGATTTATGACCATGTTTAGTATATATTGGAGTTCATTATAGGAGGTAAAGATATTCTTGAAACTTTATGTTGTTTGGACTTTTGAAAAGTATTGATGAGTATGTGTTGTGTACTTCAATAGTTTTAGGGTTAGGGTTGCGGTGGAGAAAAGCGGATGCGGGGACTCGGGTCGGGGCGCAACGTAACTAAGAGAGTCATTCCATTTAGGTCAAGACAAAATGGGCGGGCACGGGCTGTCTAGTGTCCGAGCCGATTGGTCTAACGACTACCAAGTTGAATAAACTTATGACCCTCTTTAGATCATTCTGTAATATTCCAGTGGTTGACACAAGGAATGACGGGCCTTCGTTCATTTTGTTTAAGAAGGCTGCCTTTCTTCAAAGCCTCATTCGAAGCCTGTTAGTTGGGGCCCATTTCAGACCAATCTAGGTTAAGCTCTAAGGAAAGCGCCCTCTTTTTGTCATCCCTGCAGCGCCAGATTCTATTGATCATGTCCCCTTCCCAACAGTTGTAGGCGCTCACCTTTTTTGTCTGGGTGGAAGCTGGCGGGCTGGGATTTCTTAACCGGATACACAGAATTGGGATCTCTGTTGCACACAAATCTTTCTATTGGGAAAGCCTCGCTTATTCAAATGGCTTCTTATTTAGAACCCGAAAGAGGCGAGGAATACTTACCGCCATTCTGCAAATCGATTGGCGATTTGCCTTACTTGTCTTACTTGCTTGATTGAAAAAAATTTTCAGTTGGACAAATACTATTAATAAATGGATTGACTCTATGAACCTAGCCTTACTAAATATCCTAAGAAAAAAAGTCAGCCGCTCACGGAAGCGGTATATTAGTGCCTTATGCGGGAAATCCTTTTTTGACTTGTTGATCTTCAATCAAAGAAGAATCCATGCCCAGGGCTAGTGCCAGCGCATAGTCAAAGTTTTCTCTGTGTGCCTAACATCCAATCCATCTAGTCGAGAGCCTTATGGTGCCTTTAACAATGAGAGAAGGCAATACCGAAGAGAAAAAATCAAGGGAATTGGGTAATGTCAAGTCTAGTGATAGTAAGATATCTAATTTTTCCCACAAGCCTCTGATGCCTGCATAATCCAAGGGTTCTCTTCTCTTTTCTTCAAGCTTATTTCTTCTATTGGGCTAATTGCGGCCTTGCAACCTAACATCCCTGTATTCTTCAAATCAAGGACATAATTTGAGAGATGGCTATATCATTGTGTCCTATTCCTTACGAAGTGATCCAGATTAAGCCATGTGGCGATACCCACCAAAAGAAAGGGGGTCGCCCTTTCATCCTAATATCATCTACTTAAAAGGGGGTCGGGCGTGTCACGTTCTTTTTTTAGACACATAAGCTATTATAGACGCATCAAAAAAGACTTTTCGAAGCGGGAATCTCAGAATGTAATCATTGCAGAAGAAAGGTATAAGGCTTGGGAACCGGAACATGATTAAGCCTTTAAGAGTGAAGATGACTTTGGAGAAAGCTCATATGATAAGGAATTGGTTCCAAACAACCTACAGTCGGCAAAAGTCTTATTCCGATCATAGGAGAAGAGATTTAGAGTTTGAAGAAGGTGATAAGGTGTACTTGAAAATTTCTTCTATGAAAGGGTTAGTTAGAATTGGGAAGAATGGGAACTTGAGTTCTCGTCATGTGGGTTAAGTGTTTGCTGTCAGCCCCAATCCTCCGGTTTTCGGATTGGAATAAGGAGTTCCATCTTCTGACTGACGCATCACAAGTTGATGAAAAGGAGAAGGCCGCAATACATCTCCATCATCATTCTCCCCCAGGGCTAATTAATTAGGTTAAGGAAAATATGAGGAGGGGGGTACTTTCAATGTGAAGAATATCCAACTTTGACTTTTACTTAAAAGATTAAGGTTTTGCCTCTGTTGTTGAAAATTCAGGACCCGTTGGGGAATCTATTCTAGACCCGCCTGCCGGTCCTAAATCTTTCTTATAATAGTCATCATTGTGGTAATTATAGAAGGAAGAACACTACGGGTTCTCCAAATAGTACTCCAAAATGTGAAGGCATTTTTTATCATCAAAATGGTATGAAAGGTAATTGGACTTGTGAATGTTGCCTAATATTTGACAAGTTTATAAATCCTCTATCAAGAGACAAGAAGATAAAGTGATGGCACATTTGATCTTTCAAAGTGGTGTTGAGGTGTGTCATGAAAATATGATGAATTTTAAAACCGTGACATTGAACTTGTAATGCAAATTTATGAAGTACATATAAATGATTAGTGCATTCTTTGAAAAAAAAAAGAATGTGACTTATGATGAGTATCGTGAATGCTCGACCATTCTATAAGAGAATAGGTCAAGATGTGATAAAATCATTATGGGTTGAATATATGTAACAACTCACTCTATGTGAGGTTTGAAAAAGAAAAGGTATATGCCACAACTCACCTCTACGAAAGGTTTGAGAGAAATAAATATTTTTTAGTTGGCAGGAATAACCAATGATCGTGTACATTTATACGTCATAAATATCGTGGTCTGTTTATTGTGAACTACTGAAAGAGTAAAAGAAAGAAATAATTCTTGTCTATAATGGTTGTGGCCATTATTGTGTGACAATACAACTTTGTTATTGGTTGTGTACCTATGGTACAACAAAAGTAAAGCAAGAAACATGTATTACCCGTAATGTTTTGACCATGACAATAATAATATAATTTTCTCCTTGAAGGAGATGCTCACTATAGAGATGGTATCATGCAATATGTAATAGTATACAAAATTAATAGCAAGCTCCAACGAGTTGTGTTATTGCCAGAGGAATAATAATGGGGTATGTAGTAAGTCTCAAAAAAAACTTTTTAAGTTTCGGATGAATTGAAAAGAAATATTGAAACTATAAATTATGAAAAGATTTATTATCTTCATATTACTACAACTTAAGAGGGTTATAAATATTTATGTAAAAGAACACCCCACTTTTCCTCTTGTTTGTTGCAGATAAACATGAACATGCTGATGAAATTACATGCAAAAGTAACTTATACATATACTGAAATAAATACCAGTTGGCATGACCAGTTGACCATCATGGTTTGGATGTGATGCAAATATAATTGAGAATTTATGTGGCTTATATGATGAAGAAAAATAAAAGATTTTTCAAGAATTATCTTGTGTTGCTTGTTTTCATTGTACCAGCTAAGGATGAGATTGTAATCCACTGAAGTTTTTGAACATATAAAAAGGTGAATATGGGCTCATTCATCTGTCATGTGGATCATTTGCAACTATATGATAGATGTATCTATGTGATGATCACATGTGCTTTGTTGTCAACTTACAAATTGGTGTTTGTAAGGTTGTTGCTCGAATTGTTAAATTAAAAGTAGAGTTCCAAACTATGAAACCATATTGATAATATTGGTTGATTTAGCAAAAATTGTATGCCTCAATTATATCTAAATCATGAGAACAAAACTCCAAAATAAGATTTGGCATGAGATTATTTTATTTAACGTGTAGCAACACATGTATGAATCAAGACAACAAGGTTTCCTTATTAAAATTGGTTCAGGGTCAGGAACCAAATAATTTTCATCTAAAATGTTGAATATGCGGTTATGATTTTAATTGTTCCACCACGCACAAAGATGAATTTCCAAATGATGTTGAGATGAATGTTAGAATTTGTAACATTAGGGGGAGATATGATTTTGACAGCTGAAAATTATGTGGGAGGTTAATCATGAATTATATAGATCCTCGTTAAATAAATATGTGAACTTAAAGTTCAAGGGATAATTCATTTGCATAATATTGTAAATTAGTTGCTAGATGAATGCACTGACCCTATGATATAATTTAGCTGCAAATACTCCAATGTGAAGTCCTTAAAGGACAGATTCTATGATACTCCGGAAGCGTAATAGACCAATCGATTCAAAATATAAAATTTTTTGAAGAAGGAAGAGGGACAAATGATCAATATGGTCATGATAATGAGGCAAGTTCTATAAAAGAGTACGTTGACATAACACTACATAGACCTCGAAAAATGTTTAGGTACCTTAAAAATGAAGAAAAATGAAGAGATCTCGATAAGTTATGTCTTTTTGGAATCGATATCAAATAATCGTCGACGGTATCTTTTGTATGAGGTAGAGTTCAATGATATAACTTGTGACGAGGATCTTGAATTCAAATATGTCTTAGAGTGTGGACAAATATATGATTGACTAAGTAAAATGCATAATTCAAGCGTATTGTTTCACTTAGAAAAGTGATGTTTTGCACTTATTGTCCATAAATCAAGGTATAATGTCAGTGGGGTACAAATAAAAAATTATGCGATAATATAACAGTAAGATATCAAGTATGACTCGTGCCTTGGGGCATAAAGGTTTGTCGCAAGAATCCTGACATTATTGGAGTTGTTTTCTCCTATGGTGGATGCAATGAGGTTTGTTTTGATCCGGCAACATATAAAAACTGAGTTAATACCTCAGATGGTCACTCAACTATGCACTCTTCTCTCAGAAACTCACTCAACTTTTAATTTTAGCTCAAAAGTCACTCAACTATTGCTTTCTTTCTCAGAAAGTCACTCAACTTTGAATTTTAATTCAAAA